CACACACACACACACACACTCACACACACACACACACACTCACACACACACACACACACTCACACACACACACACACACTCACACACACACACACACACTCACACACACACACACACACTCACACACACACACACACACTCACACACACTCACACACACACACAGTCACACTCACACACACACATACACACACACACACACACACACACACACACACACACTATGTCAGTAGCGTTATATGTTGTTACTAATGGTCAGTTGAGCAGAGACACTCAGACTGCTGTTGATATTAGATGCCGACGAGAGACACAGAGACAAAAAGAGAGAGTGAGAGAGAGACGATGGATATATCACACGGATGATGTCATGGCTGGTTCTTCTACTGCTAACTCAGTGTAACACACACACATTTCTGTCACTAGGGGTGACAACATAAACTGATAAATTCATGAATGTGTGTGTGTGAAAGGTGTGGCTGTAGAGAAAGAAAGAGGGACAAATGTGCACTTTTTATTCTCTTGAATTTGTTCTCATTTTTAAGTGTTCAAATGTTAAATTAGCCAGAATTTCTTTATATTTCGTCTTATATAATAAAATTATTTTAAAAAGTGAAAAGTAAAATTCTACTTCATTGGCTGGTTTATTTATTTATCTCTCTATTTGTTTGTTTTAGTGTTCCTGTGCGATTATTACCACTTTTATGAGAACCTTGGTTTCATGCATTTTTGTTATAATGTAAGTTTTATGTGTTTGCATTTTTTTTAAATGTAGTTACAAAAATGATCCTGTGCTGAAATTCCAAATAAAAACTATTTTAATAAAATAGTCTACTTCACATTTCTACTTTAAAAGTAAAAAACAAAAAATTATTTAATAATTAAAGAAGGCAGCATTTAAGAGTTTTAATTCCGGAATAATCCATTTCATCCAGATCTTTATTTTAAGGTCACATGGCAAATAATTTAACACAGATGAAATGTAGTAGTTAAATTTTTCATGTGAATTTCTCAACATCACCTGCCCATCTCTGTGTGTGTGTGTGTGTGTGTGTGTGTGTGTGTGTGTGTTCGGCTCATGGACCTACAATGGAAACCAGGTGTACACACCTTTTACCTTTTTTTTTAATGCAAATCTCTTGAACAATGAACATGCAATTAAAGACATTTATAACATATTAGTTACACCAAATCAAATACTAAGACAAACAAAAAGGTGTGTAAATTATGACATAATTTTCATCTCATGTAGACTATCCCTTTAAAGGCCGTATTTTATGCATATTTAATAACAAAACTATTAATTATGCGTCTCAACAAATACAGTTGAAATTTTTTTTCTGTAATATGATGATTCAATGTGATGTTCAAAAAACACAAAAAACATGTGGAAACTGTAAATTTTTAAAGTTTCTGCATCTTAAATGTAATGTTTGGAAAACATCTTTAGAACATATTTTGGTTAGCTGTCTAATCTCAGAAAACTAGACTTACAGGAACAGTTCACCCAGAAATGGAAATGTGCTCAACCTCAGGTCATCCTAGATGCAGATGAGTTTGTTTCTTCATCAGATTTGGAGAAATGTAGCATGGCATCACTTGAAGCGTGCGGTTTTATAGCGTAATTCTTTAACTTCTAAGGTAATATCAATATGACCTATTTCAGATGAAAAGTGAAAAAATTTTCTGGTGTGAATCAGGAGAGAAATCTGCACAGATCAAGCAGCGTTTAAACAGCTCTAAACACATATGTGGCTGGATTTTGATGTGAGAGACAACAGGAGATGCACTTTTTCACCGGAGGAAGAGTTATTATGGATTATGGACTCATATTTTAGTTAAAAACGTCTTAATGCTGGATTTGTCTCAGCTTTTGTCTTCTCCCGATGTTAACTGATGGACTGGAGTGCTGTGGATTATTGTGATGTTTTTATCAGCTGTTTGGACTCTCATTCTGACGGCACCCATTCACTGCAGAGCACCCATTGCTGAGACACTGATGCAATGCTACATTTCTGCAAATCTGATGAAGAAACAAACTCACAAACTCATCGGGTTGACCCGAGAGTGAGCACATTTTCAGTTTTGTGTCAACTGTTCCTTTAAGCATTTAACACTTTGACACTTTGACGCAAAATTTGGTGGAAATCACCGTCAGTGTGTCCTGAAGGTGCCTGAAAAGTTTGAAGACAGCGCCACCTAGTGTTCAGAAGATATGGTCTAGTCCAGTTTGCTGGCCAAGAATCACACAATTAGACAGGAAGACTGACATGCAAAGCAGCCAATTGCATTTCAGGGGTGAGTTAATCAGAAATAGTCGAGACTATGTGTTTTCATGTCCATTTGTCTCCTGCAGGTGGACATCGCCATGGGTATGGACAGCGGAGACCTGTCGGACTTCGTGGAGAACGTAGAGTGGGAATGTCACGGGATGCCGGCCACTAAGAACGTGATCATGTACGGCTGCTGCTCGGATCCGTATCCCGACATCACCTACACGCTCCTGCTGCAGAGACGCAGCTCCTTCTACATCTTTAACCTGCTGCTGCCCTGCTTCCTCATCTCCTTCCTCGCTCCTCTGGGCTTCTACCTGCCCGCAGACTCAGGCGAGAAGGTCTCGCTGGGCGTCACGGTTCTGCTGGCGCTCACCGTCTTCCAGATGATGGTGGCAGAGAGCATGCCTCCCTCCGAGAGCGTTCCTCTGATCGGTGAGTCTCTCAACTAGTGTGTAACTTCAGGAAGAAGAATTTAAATGCCACATACATTAACATTTAAAAGTTTGGGGTAAGTAAGACTTAATTTAAGAAAATTGATACGCATTGAATTGATCAAAAGTGCCATTTATAATGTTACAAAAAAAAATCACTTGAAGCGTGCGGTTTTCTAGCGTAATTCTTTAACTTCTAAGGTAATATCAATATGACCTATTTCAGATGAAAAGTGAAAAAATTTTCTGGTGTGAATCAGGAGAGAAATCTGCACAGATCAAGCAGCGTTTAAACAGCTCTAAACACATATGTGGCTGGATTTTGATGTGAGAGACAACAGGAGATGCACTTTTTCACCGGAGGAAGAGTTATTATGGATTATGGACTCATATTTTAGTTAAAAACGTCTTAATGCTGGATTTGTCTCAGCTTTTGTCTTCTCCCGATGTTAACTGATGGACTGGAGTGCTGTGGATTATTGTGATGTTTTTATCAGCTGTTTGGACTCTCATTCTGACGGCACCCATTCACTGCAGAGCACCCATTGCTGAGACACTGATGCAATGCTACATTTCTGCAAATCTGATGAAGAAACAAACTCATCCTAATCTCGGGTTGACCCGAGAGTGAGCACATTTTCAGTTTTGTGTCAACTGTTCCTTTAAGCATTTAACACTTTGACGTATTGGCACAAAATTTGGTGGAAATCACCGTCAGTGTGTCCTGAAGGTGCCTGAAAAGTTTGAAGACAGCGCCACCTAGTGTTCAGAAGATATGGTCTAGTCCAGTTTGCTGGCCAAGAATCACACAATTAGACAGGAAGACTGACATGCAAAGCAGCCAATTGCATTTCAGGGGTGAGTTAATCAGAAATAGTCGAGACTATGTGTTTTCATGTCCATTTGTCTCCTGCAGGTGGACATCGCCATGGGTATGGACAGCGGAGACCTGTCGGACTTCGTGGAGAACGTAGAGTGGGAATGTCACGGGATGCCGGCCACTAAGAACGTGATCATGTACGGCTGCTGCTCGGATCCGTATCCCGACATCACCTACACGCTCCTGCTGCAGAGACGCAGCTCCTTCTACATCTTTAACCTGCTGCTGCCCTGCTTCCTCATCTCCTTCCTCGCTCCTCTGGGCTTCTACCTGCCCGCAGACTCAGGCGAGAAGGTCTCGCTGGGCGTCACGGTTCTGCTGGCGCTCACCGTCTTCCAGATGATGGTGGCAGAGAGCATGCCTCCCTCCGAGAGCGTTCCTCTGATCGGTGAGTCTCTCAACTAGTGTGTAACTTCAGGAAGAAGAATTTAAATGCCACATACATTAACATTTAAAAGTTTGGGGTAAGTAAGACTTAATTTAAGAAAATTGATACGCATTGAATTGATCAAAAGTGCCATTTATAATGTTACAAAAAAAAATATATTTCAAATAAATGCTGTTCTTTTGAGTTTTTCTATTCATCAAGAATCCTGAAAAATAAAATGCATCACAGTTTCCACAAACATATTGTGCAGCACAACTGTTTTCAACATTGATAATAATCAGATATGTTTCTCCTGCAGCAAATCAGCATATTAGAATGATTTCTGAAGACTGGAGTAATGATGCTGAAAATACAGCTTTGATCACAGAAATAAATTAGAGTTTAACAGATATTCACATAGAAAACAGCTGTTTTGAATTGTAATAATATTTCACAATTTTATTCTAGCCTTAGTAAGCAGAAGTGACTTCTTTCAAAAACATAAAAAATCTTACTAACCCCAAACGTTTGAACAGTAGTGTATAAAAATCTGAAGTTTTCATCATATTTCATAAAGTAATTTCTTAATTAATTACATATTAATTTTGAATTCTGATTTAATTCTCTAGTTTTCTACTCTGAACACAGACAAAATGTAGCAAAAAAGAGATTGACGTCTCTCTCTGTCAGGTAAATACTACGTAGCGACGATGACTATGGTCACAGCGTCCACTGCTTTGACCATCTTCATCATGAACATTCATTTCTGTGGAGCCGAGGCCAAACCAGTGCCGTACTGGGCCAAAGTCCTCATCATCGACTACATGTCCAAGATCTTCTTCGTCTATGAGGTTGGCGAGAGCTGCGCATCTCCGTTCGGACAGAGGGAGGAATCCGAGTCCTTCCACGGTCAGAACCAGAACCAGAAGCTCCATCCCAAAGAGAAAGCGAAAGGAGCTCCGCCCCCCTGCTGTCCCGACGACGACAAATCGGCTGCCTTCACGCTGACCATTGACCCCAGTGTTTACTGCGGCTGCAGCGGTGGAATTCTCGGGTGCGACCCGAAGCTGGTCCGGAATGTTGAATATATCGCAAGCTGCTTCCGCGAGCAAAAGGCCACGTGCCTGAAAGTGGCTGAATGGAAGAAGGTCGCCAAGGTGATGGACCGAATCTTCATGTGGATATTCTTCATCATGGTCTTCCTCATGAGCATCCTCATCATCGGGAAAGCACCTTGAACTGATTGGTGTGACAGTCAGGTGAGAGAGTAGAGCGCAGACGCCATATTTAATTGGACTATTTGACATATTCCACTATCCATGTTTTGCTGAGTTTTTGTCCACTTTTTACTGACACAATAAAACCCCATAAATTCACACTGCAAAAAATTATTTTCGTACCCAGTATTTTTGCCTTGTTTTCCAGTACAAATATCTAAACATTCTTAAATCAAGATATATTTACTTGAGAAGCAAAATGACTTAAGATATATATTTTTTTTAAGTATCAAAATGAGTTTATGCTTAAAACAAGAACAAATATCTGCCAGTGGGGTCAGGAAAATCAACTTAATTCAAAGGGAAAACAATATTAGTTTTCTGACCCCATTGGCTGATTTTTTCTTGTTTATGTCATAAATTCACCTAATTTTGGTCATTTAAAAAAAACAAACAAACCAAGAGTCATTTTCCTTTTTAAATAAACATATCTCGATTTAAAGGAACAGTTCACCCAGCAATGAAAATGTGCTGAAAATGTGCTCATCCTCAGGCATCCGAGATGTAGATGAGAAAGTAGATGAGGTTTGGAGAAATGTAGCATTGCATCAGTGTCTCAGTAATGGTTGCTCTGCAGTGAATGGGTGCCGTCAGAATGAGAGTCCAAACAGCTGATTAAACCATCACAATAATCCACACCACTCCAGTCCATCTGGAGAAGACAAAAGCTGAAACACATCCAGCATTAAGACGTTTAAGAAAATTGATACGCATTGAATTGATCAAAAGTGCCATTTATAATGTTACAAAAAAAAATATATTTCAAATAAATGCTGTTCTTTTGAGTTTTTCTATTCATCAAGAATCCTGAAAAATAAAATGCATCACAGTTTCCACAAACATATTGTGCAGCACAACTGTTTTCAACATTGATAATAATCAGATATGTTTCTCCTGCAGCAAATCAGCATATTAGAATGATTTCTGAAGACTGGAGTAATGATGCTGAAAATACAGCTTTGATCACAGAAATAAATTAGAGTTGAACAGATATTCACATAGAAAACAGCTGTTTTGAATTGTAATAATATTTCACAATTTTATTCTAGCCTTAGTAAGCAGAAGAGACTTCTTTCAAAAACATAAAAAATCTTACTAACCCCAAACGTTTGAACGGTAATGTATAAAAATCTGAAGTTTTCATCATATTTCATAAAGTAATTTCTTAATTAATTACATATTAATTTTGAATTCTGATTTAATTCTCTAGTTTTCTACTCTGAACACAGACAAAATGTAGCAAAAAAGAGATTGACGTCTCTCTCTGTCAGGTAAATACTACGTAGCGACGATGACTATGGTCACAGCGTCCACTGCTTTGACCATCTTCATCATGAACATTCATTTCTGTGGAGCCGAGGCCAAACCAGTGCCGTACTGGGCCAAAGTCCTCATCATCGACTACATGTCCAAGATCTTCTTCGTCTATGAGGTTGGCGAGAGCTGCGCATCTCCGTTCGGACAGAGGGAGGAATCCGAGTCCTTCCACGGTCAGAACCAGAACCAGAAGCTCCATCCCAAAGAGAAAGCGAAAGGAGCTCCGCCCCCCTGCTGTCCCGACGACGACAAATCGGCTGCCTTCACGCTGACCATTGACCCCAGTGTTTACTGCGGCTGCAGCGGTGGAATTCTCGGGTGCGACCCGAAGCTGGTCCGGAATGTTGAATATATCGCAAGCTGCTTCCGCGAGCAAAAGGCCACGTGCCTGAAAGTGGCTGAATGGAAGAAGGTCGCCAAGGTGATGGACCGAATCTTCATGTGGATATTCTTCATCATGGTCTTCCTCATGAGCATCCTCATCATCGGGAAAGCACCTTGAACTGATTGGTGTGACAGTCAGGTGAGAGAGTAGAGCGCAGACGCCATATTTAATTGGACTATTTGACATATTCCACTATCCATGTTTTGCTGAGTTTTTGTCCACTTTTTACTGACACAATAAAACCCCATAAATTCACACTGCAAAAAATTATTTTCGTACCCAGTATTTTTGCCTTGTTTTCCAGTACAAATATCTAAACATTCTTAAATCAAGATATATTTACTTGAGAAGCAAAATGACTTAAGATATATATTTTTTTTAAGTATCAAAATGAGTTTATGCTTAAAACAAGAACAAATATCTGCCAGTGGGGTCAGGAAAATCAACTTAATTCAAAGGGAAAACAATATTAGTTTTCTGACCCCATTGGCTGATTTTTTCTTGTTTATGTCATAAATTCACCTAATTTTGGTCATTTAAAAAAAACAAACAAACCAAGAGTCATTTTCCTTTTTAAATAAACATATCTCGATTTAAAGGAACAGTTCACCCAGCAATGAAAATGTGCTGAAAATGTGCTCATCCTCAGGCATCCGAGATGTAGATGAGAAAGTAGATGAGGTTTGGAGAAATGTAGCATTGCATCAGTGTCTCAGTAATGGTTGCTCTGCAGTGAATGGGTGCCGTCAGAATGAGAGTCCAAACAGCTGATTAAACCATCACAATAATCCACACCACTCCAGTCCATCTGGAGAAGACAAAAGCTGAAACACATCCAGCATTAAGACGTTTTTAACTAAAATACATTGAGTCCATAATCCATAATAACGCTTCCTCCAGTGAAAAAGTGTTCTGGTGTGAATCAGGAGAGAAATCTGCACAGATCAAGCAGCGTTTAAACAGCTCTAAACTAATATGTGGCTGGATTTTGATGTGAGAGACAACAGCAGATGGACTTCTTCACTGGATTATTATGGACTCGTATTTCCAGGACTCCAGAAGCAACGGTTTGAAGTTTAAAAACGTCTTGATGGATTTGTTTCTTACAAACACGCAACTTTTGGCTCCACGAGATGTTAATTGACGGACTGGAGTGGTGTGGATTACTTGTGGATTATTCTTTTTTTTGGGTGAACTATTCCTATATTTGTAATGGAAGACAAAATAAAAATACTGAGTGCAGAAAACTTTTTGCAACTTCTTAAAAAATTATTTAAAGATCTTATCATTTTTTAACTGCTTACTACAGTCGTTTTGTTTTTAAGTCAGACAGATTGTGATGTATTATGCATCATGCTGGAGCCTCTTTGTGTGTGTGTGTGTGTGTGTGTGTGTGTGTAAGATAATCTGAGTATTAATAATGCAGACTTTTGCCTCTCAATGAGCACATCAGTTATATCAGTCTTTCTGATAAGAGATCCGCTTTTCTTCATTAGAAGGCTGTGACCCGTCTTCATTACAGGAGTCTCTCTCACACACATGTTTCTGTCAGTGAGGATATATAGACTTATATAGACTTACACAAGTTTTACATGAAACTAATGATCATTCACAGTGAATTATGTTGTCGCATTCACTTTCCAGAAGCCGCTGTGTCACCTGTGTGTGTGGGAATGTTTTACACTACATAATGTTTCATGTTTTTGGCTTATTGTGTTTATTTTCTATTTTTGCCATATACTGTATATACTTCACTCTAATGGAGGTTTGTGTTAATTCATGCACTGTTTTTGTTCTTCTGCTGAAAAAAAAAGTTGTAAATAATATACTTTTAAGATATTATACTCGCTCTCTCCATTCATTCAAAGATATTAATTTCTATTTTATGTTTTAGTTGTCTCCTACTGTCCTATGTTAAATGGACTTCAGTTTTTTTCTAAGTTGTAAATTATCATGCCTCCACACCAGAAATATGAGATCCAGCCCAGAAAATGTCTGGTAACAGAACAACTAGTCAACTAAGTTTTCTAATACCAAAAACCACTTAAAGTCCCCATGAAATCAAAATTAAAGTTTTTGGGGTGTTAGTATCAATATGTTAGTCTTAAGGTTATCTATAAGGCAGTGTGCTCCAAAACAGTGACAAAATTCGCATTTAGAAGATATAAGCATTCAAAGCTTGCAGTTCGTCACTTCCGTCAAAATGGCTCAACGATTTTATTGACGTCACATCGTACTTCAGCTTCTCATCAAACTTTCTGTCCAATCAAACGCTCTCTAGAATCCGAAGCCCCGCCCCCTACACTATAAAATAGACGCTGAAGCCGCGGCTGAAATCGGTCACTTGTCCACAGAATTAGTATTTTCTGTACAGTGAATGGCACGTAATGCACTATATAGGGGACAGGGAACGATTCAAACAGTGTAAATATGCTTTCCATTGAGGAAGAAAAGAAGTCTGGTTTTGCGCTGTGTCACATTAACCACCGCAACGCACACACGGCGCGAGTCGGCGCAGACCACACAATTTATCGGAGCTATTTGAATTCTACACAGAATGCTATATTTTATGGCAATATGGATGAGATTGTGGCTGGCATACCCTGCGGCTTTACGGAGCTCAGCGGCTCTGAGCGGCTCTAGCCCAAGCTGTGATATAAACGAACGCTATTGGCTATTTTAAAAAGGGGCGGGGCTGCTTGATATGTCCCGCCCTGTCTTCCTGTTTCAGTTAAAATGACGTCAACACAGAGTAATGCTCCGTGTTTCTAAGCATTTCAGGGGACCTTTAAGAACAAGTCTTGTCTGGTACCCAAAACTCTACGAGTTTTGACTGAGCAAGAAGTTGACTGAGCAAAGCCAGTGGAGAGCAGAAGCAGGAGACGAAGTGATGATAAACAGGAGCAGGGTTTATTGGATAATAGTTGCGTATGTTTCAATGCTCAGACACAAATCCAACAAGTAGTGTTTTACCAAAACCGCTTCACAACAACATCCCATAAACCTTGAGTTTCCATAAACATTCCTCTTATCTCTTATTCATGAAGAGAAGAAACAGCCCTTGAAACCACACATCATACGACTAAACAACAATGTAAAAATAATACTAGTAACTATATAACTAATATATGAATGAAATGAGTATTTAAATGATTATTATAAAGGTTTATATGCTTAAATGGAGTAATAACATGATTATAAATGAATGAATGAAGAATAAATTAATATAAAAGACAAAAAAAGTAAAACACAGCACAAAGTTTACTGGAAACTGGAATTTCCAAAAATTGTGAAAACATATTCTTTTGTCACTTGAAGATTACTGGAGTATATTTGACAAGAAAGCACTATTTTAGTTTTTTCTACTTCAACATTCAATGTGTAAGATGCCTTTTCTTTGTAATTATTTGTGAAATTT